TGCCCACAACCCGAAAGGCTAAGGTTTGGGTGTGGAGGGAACTTCAGAGAGACCCTCCCCTACTATGAAATGCAGTTCCCTGCCTTGGCTCCTGCTCTGACTGGCCTGAGAGTCCACCTGGTGGACACACAACATCCCTCTGGACCCGGACCACGTGTCTGAATCCCACACCCTTAAGGCCAGAGAGGTCTTGAGATCATCTGACTCAGAGCTGTTCCTACTCTTCTCTAAGAGAAGGAGGCCCCCAGGAGCCTCTCTGATAGGGCCCATCTAGCCCTGCTTGTGTACTTCCTGGGACTTCTCTCCCAGGCTGCTGCATTTCATCTTGAGAGAGCCTACTGGGAGATTTTCTTCAGCACACTGAGCCCTGAGATCTGCTCCTAGTCATTTCTTCCCTCACACAGCCTGGCCTACTTTTGGGGCCACAGAGCTTGGTAGAGACCATTCCAAGACCATTCATTGGTTGGTCTTCATCCCCCCCAGTCACTCCAGCACTCCTGTCCCAGCCCATGGAAATATAGCAGTGAAGCTCAAATGCCTAGCACAAGGTCAGGAGGCTACATCTGTTTCTCAACCTGAGATAAGACCCTTTGCCCCCCCCCCCCCGCTTGTCTTATTCACTGCCTGGGACCTTCGAAGAAGACATGATCTCTTACCTTTTCAAAAGGAGGAAACAGGGGACCCCAAAGCTTGCTAACTTGCTAGAGATGCCTCCCACCAAACCCCCAATCCTCACCCTCAGAGGTCAGCCATGTGGGACTGGGGCCTCATTTGTGGCCAGCCCATTGTGAGAGGAACAGGGTTTTGTGGGAGGGGGTTTTGTGGCCTGGGAGGAAGGGATCAAAGCCAGAGCCAGCTTTAGGTTCAGTGTGCACTGTGGCATGTTAGAGGGTGACAAGTGGCTCCTGCTGTGGATGTGTGGTGGCTCACACTTTCTCTGTGGAGCCTTCTCTGCTCGTCTCTGTCAAAGCTGCAGTCTCCCACCCCACACATGCACACTCAGGGTTCCTACTTTCTATCTCTGCTATGTTTTTTTCTTAGTATGTATCGTCTTTTAACAACTATTCTATTTGTTTTGTTTTTCTTACTGTGTCTCTCCCACTGCCTGAGCATAAACTTTGCCAGGCAGAGCTTTTCTTGTTTTTCTCATCAATGCATCTGTAGTGTCTAGGACAGTACCTGGCTCATAGAGGTGCCCAGTAATATATGTTAAGTGAATGAATGAGTGAATGAATATCCAGGGCTGAAACCTGGCCAGGTCATAGGGGACTTGGCTCAATGCTATTTATATAGCAAGTGGCAGTTTGTACTCACGCTATATGTTATTGGGGATCAGATAGAGATGGAATGTGTGGGGCCCAAAGGCTCTTAAAACACTCTTGGGGCTGCCTCTATCTGGCTGTGTATAAGATTTGGGCTATAAACAATCCCAGCTGAATGAGATAAATAGGCAGTGGCCTGGCAGAGCTGGGCTGCCTCCTCTCCCTCCTACCTTGTTCAAGTGCTTCCTTGGGCCCCTCACTTCTCTGTCTGTCCTTCCCTGCTGAAATTGCCAAGTCTTCCAGCCTGCACAGTCACTCTGCCCCAGGCCTCTGAGGCTGCCTCTGGCTCAGCAGTTCCCTGGCCTCTCTGCCTTCTTTGCCAGCCTGCCTGGACAGCCAGCCAAGGGCATGAGACTCCTGGGGACCCAGCTGCTCTGTTCACAGTCCTGTGCATGGTGCCACCAGACTGCTCTGTCCTTGCTGTGTGTCTGGAGGACATGACTCAGCTGTACCCGTGGCCCCACAGACCAAGTCGCTGCCTTCTTTGGCTGGCCCCCCAACCCTTTGAGGGTCCTGGGCTGTCTTCCCTCACCTCTCTTCTAATTATAAGCCTTGGCTTTATTTTTCTTGTGAGCTCTATACCCTCAAGCCCAACAGGCCTCAACTTCCCCTTCTGAGCAGAGAGCCCTTTCAGAAGGATTGCCCTTGCTGGGAGACCTTTACCAAGATGGCACTGAAAGCGAAGAAGGAAGCTCCTGCCCCTCCCAAAGCTAAAGCCAAAGCAAAAGCTTTAAAGGCCAAGAAGGCAGTGCTGAAAGGCATCCACAGCCACAAAAAGAAGATCCACATGTCACCCACCTTCCGCCGTCCTGAGACACTATGACATGCAGTTCCCAAATACCCTCGGAAAAGCCCCCCCAGGAGAAACAAGCTTGACCATTATGCCATCATTAAGTTCCCCTTAACACGGAGTCAGCCACGAAGATAGAGGACAACAACACGCTTGTGTTCATTGTGAATGTCAAGGCCAACAAGCACCAGATCAAACAACCTGTGAAGAAGCTCTGTGACGCTGATGTGGCCGAGGTCAATAGCCTAATCAGGTCTGATGGAGAGAAGGCATATGTTTGACTGGCTCCTGATTACTATGCTTTGGATGTTGCCAACAAAATTGGGATCATCTAAACTGAGTACAGCTGGCTAATTCTAAATACACATTTTATTTTTACCATTAAAAAAAAAGGACTGCCCTCAACTTCCTGTCCCCTACTGAACCCAGCTGCTCCTTTTCTCCACACCCTACCCCCAGCCCTCCAGAGCCCCAGGCCACTCCTCCTCCTCCTCTTCCTCCTCCTCCTCTCCTTTCCTCAGTACCAGTGCTGCTGGTTCCTTCTCCCAGCTTACTCTCCCCTCCTCCACCTCTCCCCTCTCAGCAAAAGTTCTTATTTGAAACCATGTGCTTTCCCAGCTCTCCTCTTCCTCCCTCTAACTCAGAGTTCCAGAGAGCTTCTACTTCCTCTCTGCACACCTCACACCTCTAGGTCAAGTGGTTAAGACCAGAGCAGAGCAGGGAGCTTCTGAGCAGGGAGTCCAGGTCAGGGAAGAGTAGTGGGCATCCTGTCTTCTAGGTGAGGATAGCGAGTGAGACCAGGGGCAAGATACTATCTCAGCTCACAAGGAAACCTCCTAGGTGACTTGACATACTAGGTCATGGTGTGGGGGAACGGGCAAGCGACTGGGAGCTTGGTATCCTGAGCACTACTTGAGACCGGTGCAGGGCTGGGGGAGGGGAGCATCTCTGGGGCTTCCAGGAAAGGCCCTGGACTCTGCCTGGAAGGGGCCCTAGAAGTCCCCTTTTGTGAGTGTCTTTAGTTGCACTATTGTGGCTGCCTTGATATCCTGTATTGATTCAAATATTTACCTTCCATAGTCATTTTTTTTGGTACCAGGGATCAAACTCAGGACCTTGTGCTTCTTCCATAGTCATTTTAACTTTGGGGAAGAGCCAGAAGTTGCATAGTGCCAGATCCAGTGAACAAGGTAGATGAGGGAGGACACACCGTAATGTTTTTAGGAGTCTGCCTTTCTGTTAGGTTGCACTTGGCAACAACATTCATCATATTTTTTATCACACCTTGTCAAGACATTTAGGAAAGGACTTTAAGAACTGCTTCAGAAAGTGGCAAGAATGCTAGGCTGATTGTGTTCAAAGTAAGGGGGTGTATTTTGAGGGGGATTAATGGCAATGTGTCTTGTATTGTGATAAATTTCTAAAATGTAAACATTCACTGTAGTTTCTGATCACCCATTGTATTTTTGCATAACTCATGAGAATGGTTTGAGAAAACATCAGTGGTCTCTATCACACAATAAGAAAGGCTGATAATGGAGCAGGTGACGGGGGAAGAGTAGAGTTGACCCTGTCCTGCTCCTGAGGATTCAAAATGTGAGGATTCACACCTGGAACACCCAGGGATCTTTAAGTTCCAGCCCATGCAATTGGATTAAAGACCTGTCCTGGAATTTGTACCTCTCTGCCACCCATCACTGCTTCTTCTGCAAAGCATGGCACCCAACAGACCTGGTCCTGTCCTGGCTCTGCAGCTTATGAGAAGTGACTTTATCTCTCTCTGAGTCTCAGAGTCTCTAGTTATAAAATATTATGAACAATCGCAGCGCTATTGGAGGTTCAAGTGAAATAATGGACTGGATGAGCCCAATATCTGACAGTAAGCCTGCACTCAGTGGACCTCCTAGTATTCCTCATACTTTTATCACAGAACAGCTAAAGTCATGAGAAATGGTCTCCACTGCCACCTTTACTCATTCATTTATCTGTCCATTCATCCATTCATCTGATGTTCATTTGCAGGGATTCTTGCAATGTGCAAGGATTTCTCTGGGCTCTGGGCTCTGTCTTTGAAGGACACTCAGCTGGTGGGAAAGACAGATGAAGATGGAGGTCAAAGTCTCTGGTCAGACAAAGGGGGCCCCTATGCTGCCTGGGGTATCAAGGAGAGCTCTCTGGAGGAGATGGTTCCTTGGTGGGGTATGGACAAGGAAAGGGAAGGTGCTCTAGGCTGAGACCCACTGGAGGTAGGAGGGTCTGGGGAATCTGCAGTGTTGGTGTTTGCAGGTGCTGGGGGAGCCTGGCTGGAGGAGAGGCTGAGAGGTTATCAGAGCCAGGTCCCCACAGGCCTCAAAATGCCAGCTACTCATCTGGCCTTTGCATTTTGGGTATTAGATGAGGAGAGCTCTTGATTGTTTCTAAGCCAGGGCAGAGGCAGAATCAAGTTTGGGATTTAGGAAGTCCATTGGGCTGTTTCATGGAGCATGAATTGATTGTGCCTAGAGTCTAGGTCAGAGAAAATAGGACATAAAGTGGGATCCTGGGCATGGACAGGGAGGCGCTGGGAGCTAGTTAGGGGTAGGGCTAAACTGGGGGCCTTGAATGCCAGGCTCACAGCAGTCTCCTACCCTTCCTCAACATACCCATTCACAGGCCTTGATAGCCAGTGTGCTAGAAAAATAGTGGTAGGGGTGGGTCAAAGATGCCCTAGCCCAGCCCTCAGGTCACAGATGGAAAGCAGAGGCCCAGAGCAGGCAATAGGTTGCTATAGTCCTGCAGGAACACATATCCCATCCCAAAGCCCATTTCCCCCAGCTTTCCTCTCCTGGGGAAGTAAGAGCATGGCTTAGGGAGCCAGGGACTTGGAGGAGCCCAGACAGATGACTCACTGTGTCCACCAGGGCCAGGCGGGCCTTTCCTGCCCCAACTAGGGAGGGAGCCTTAGAGCTTGGGGAGTCCTCTCCTCTTCTTCACTCGTTCCTACTTCTTCTGTTTTTCTGCAGAAGAAACAGAGTCCAAGAGAAGAGAGGCATTAGGCCCTGAGATAGTGCAGCCACCTGGGCACTGATGTGGGTGGCAGGACAGCTGGGTTATGAATCCTGAGGACACACACTGCTGAAGGGTGGAGCTCCAGTGGCACCAGTGTTTGGTGCCCAGCACTGTCCTTAATGGTCACTTCCCTTGTATGCCAGCTTGGGTTTCGGCATCCCATGACTGAGGAGGACAAAACAGGAAGGAACTGTGTGCCATCTGCTCCAGAGCACTGTGAATCTGGTCTTCTTAGGCGGAAGAACCAGGCCCACCCTGCCTGAGGGAGCCAGACATATCAGCACAGCTCACTGAGTCTGTGCCCCGGTCCTCACCCCTAGCTCTCCCAGGGTGCAGAAATCGAGTTCTGTCCTTGGAACTTGCAGTCTTGCAGCCCTAAGTGTCTGGTCTTGGACCTGATTTGGACAGTACCCTGGGATGGAGGTAGGTTGAGAGCACAAATAGGATGAGCGCAGGTGATGACATGGGCAATACTGCTATTAGCTGTTGAAAATGCCCAGGCCAGGTGCCTGTTCTCTTCCAGTCTCCCCATAGAAAGGCTAATGGGGGCAGGCCTGCTCATTCATTGCCTTTGCCTGGGAGGGAAACCAAGGCCCCATTTGACATCAATCACCACAACCTATTTGTGTGTCACTTTTTTTTTTGAGTCAAAGTCTTTCCAAGTAGTTCAGGCTAGCCTTGAACTCATTATGGAGCCCAGGCTGGCCTCAAGCTCGCGGTGATCCTCCTGCGTTAGCCTCCCGAGCACTAGAATTACAGGTGTGTGCCACCATGCCTGGCTGTATGCCACTCGAATCTGTCAGTCCACCCCCTTTCTGGAACCACAGGGACCCTTGCTCAGCAAGAATCTGACCACCCTACTTCCCTTCTCAGCCCCTCTGGCCTGAAGATGAAGGCCAACCTGCCAGCTGGCTGACTTCTCTGTTCCCAGCCCTGCCTCTTGCACGCAACCAGCTGTGTTCCTTTGCTCCCTGGCTGGTGCTGTTTCCATCCCTGGCCCGCCTCATTCCCACAGCTACAGCTGCAGACTTCTCCTGAAAACCCATCCAGATCCTGCCCTCAGGAGCTCAGGGTGGACATGGGACACGTCCCTGAAGACTCAGAACTTGAGGCAGACTTCAGTGCCTGACCCTATGGGACCTAGTTTGGGAGAGGTGGTTCTGCAAGCAGGGAGGACTCCCTGAGGGGGTGGCAATGAAATGAGCAAGCACATAAAGAGGCAAAGGGTGTTTCAGAAGAGTGAACAGTGAGGACAGAGGCTGGGTGAGGCCCTTGAGGGTGGTGAGCCAGAGCTGGGGCTGCCAGTGTACTAGCAACTATAGTTGGAAAAGAGGCCCAAACTACTAATAATGATGAGACAATGATTGAACACCTACTGTATGCCAAGTGAGCATTACCCCATTCAAGTCACAAGGACCCTGTGATGCAAGGCTGATTTTTTTGGTCTCCATCTTATCTTAGAATGGGGAAACCAAGGCACAGGAAGGTTAGCTCAAGATGGCACAGGTAGAAGGCATGACTACAGTGCTATGAACCTATAGTCTGTATTCTTATTCCCCAAAACACAGCAGGGCTGGGGCAGGGAGGATGTCAGGTGGCAGGGAAATCCAGCCCCTCTACATCCAGCCTGCCCTAGGCTCACCCTCCCACCAGTTACAGGCTTTCATAAAGTCTCTCTCTGCTCATAAGCTGCAGGGCTGGGACAGGAAGCCTAAGGTGAAGGGTATCCTTTTAAGCAGAACTTTCTGACCCTCCCTGCCCACGAAACCCCCAGATTCTTTCTGGGGAAGAATGTTTGCCTGTGGATCATCTCTTCCTATCTGAAGCCTCTGCTCCATTCAGTGGTAATCTTGTTCATTCCAGGAGGTCTCCTGACCCAGAACTGACCAATCAGAGTATTCATACAGACCCTTGCCCGTGATTGATTCAGGGGCAACCAATTAGAGTGGACAAGCATGAAAGGTTTTCTCTTCTTTTTCCTAGGTAACTGTGAGGTCCATGGAGATTGGTACTTCTAGAAAGAATTTAAGTAAGAATGTAGGAATCCTGCAGAAAGTCAGGAGAAAGGCTACAAAATGAAAGAATGCTGATGAAATCCTTTAACTGCTAGATCTAGTCATGTCAGATCTAGGTTGACCTTGGACTTTTTATTTATATGAACTAACATACTTTTTCTAGCCCAAGCTAGTTGCATTTGACATGACCAAAACAGCCTTGACATCAAAAGCACAGGCAACAATAATAACAAAATAGATTGTGTCAAAATTTAAAACTTTTGTGCATCAAAGGACATTATTAACAGAGTGAAAAGGATGGGAGTAGATATTTTAAAATCATGTGTCTCAGAAGGAATTAATTAATATCCATAGTATACCAAGAGTTCCAACAACAACTCACAACAACAAAAAAATAACCCAGTTAAAAAATCAGCAATGGATTTGAATAGACAATTCCCCAAAGAAGACCCACTAATGACCCATAAGAAAATGAAAAGATGCTCAACATCCACTCACTAAACATTAGGAAAATACAAATTAAGACCAGGAAATACCACTTCACACCCATTAGGATGCCTATTAATTAAAAAACCCCAAACCCACAAAACAGGATATAGCAAATGTTGGTGAGGAGATGGAGAAATTAGAACACTTTGCATTACTGATATGAATGCAAAATAATACAGTCTCTGTTAAAAACAGAAAGGCAATTAAAAAAAAAAACCCAACCAACCAAACAAACAAACAAACAAAATTATCATCTGATTCAGCAATTCTATTCCTAGATTTCCAACCAAAAGAACTGAAAGCAGGGACTCAAACAAATATTTATACACCAGTGGTCACATAATAACAATGGTCAAACAATAGAAAAAACCCAAATATCCATCGACAGATAAATGGATAAGTAAAATGTGGAATAAACATATAATATGTTACTATTTATTGTTAATTTTATTTTTCCCCATTCCCCTGCCTTCCCTTCAACTCCTCTCTATTTACAAAGACTTTGTTTTCATTTTCTCATAGTAATTCCATTCCCTTCTTTCCTCTCCCCTACCCCTCCCACTCAATGTTATTATTCATCCTTAAAAAAGAAATGGAATTCTGATAACCTGCTACATTATAGGTGAATCTTGAAAATATTATACCAAGTGAAATAAGCCAGATGCAAAAGGACAAATATTGTATGATTCCACTTATATGAAGAAACAAATTCATAATAAACAAATTCATAGAGACGGTAAGTAGAGCAGTGGTTGCTAGGGGCTGGGAGGAGGGGCAATGACACTTTCCTCTTCTTGGAGGCTGCTTCTCTCTTTTCATTTCAGCTGCTAGGAAACTCAGTCAAGTTTCTGCTCACTTACCTTAGGATCAACGTTAGCTTTTTTTTTTTTTTGCTTTGTTTACTTTTGCTTTTTTGAGACCAGGTCTTGCTACGGTGTTCATAGCTGGCCTTGAACTCACTATGTAGCCCAGGCTAGCCTCGAACTCACAGCACTTCTCCCGAGTGCCAAGATTACAGGCATGTGTCACCATGCCCGGCTTCCACCTTTGTCTTCTACGTAACTTCTATATCCCTGCTCCTGGTTCTTAAGAAAATTAAGGACCTTAGTTGCTTTTTCTCGGGGCTGAGATAAAATATCTGACACCCAAAGTTAAAGGAGGAAAGGTTTATTTAGCTTGCAAGTTGTAGAGGTTTCAGTCCATAACTGGCTGGCTCCAAGGCAGGATAGCACGGCAGACAGGCATTGCAGAGGAGAAACAGTTCATGGTGCGCAGAAGGTAGCAAAGCAAGCAAGAGATGACCACAGCTCTTTCTATCCCTTATATCTTATCTACTTAGGGCAGGTAGCACTCACACCCTTAATCCTAGTGTCCTTGATCCTAGCATTGCACCATGAATCAATTCCAACATCACACAATCTAGATCCAGCCAGCTCTGTAAAAGCCCCAACTATGACCTCATGAAGGTTTTTGGGGACATCTAAACAAAAGCCATACAATAACTCATTTAACATAAAACTCAACCTTTCAAAGTCTACAATTCAGTAGCTTTTAGTATATTCACAAGATTTTGTACCTATCATCACTAATTAATTTCAGAGTATTTTCATTAATCACAAAAGAAACCTAATTCCCATTAGTGGTTACTCTCCTTTCCTCTCTCTTCCTTCCACCACCTCAGAACCACTGATCTCCTTTTTGTATTTATGAATATGCTTACCCTAGACATTTCATGCAAAATGAAATCATACAACATGTGCCTTTTTGAGTGTGGCTTATTTTATGTAGCATAGTGTCTTCAAGGTTCATTCATTTTGTAGCATAGATTGGAAGTTCGTTTTCATAGCTGAATTAACATTCAATTTTATGGATATGCTATATTTTGTTTGTTAATCAGTTGTGGGACATTTAGGTTTTCTGCTTTTTTACTATTATGAATAATGTTGCTGTGAACATTTGTGTACGAGTTTTTGTGTGGATGTATGTATTTGGTTTTCTTGGATAGACACCTAGAAGCAGAACTACTGGATCATATGATAACTCTATGTTTAACTTTTTGAGGAACTGCCTAATTGCATTCCAATTTTACATTCTCACTAGCAGTGTATGAAAGTTCTAATTTCTCTACATCCTCTCCAACACTTTTTATTGTTTATCTTTTTCATTACAGCCATCCTAGTAGGTATGAAGTAGTATACTGTGCTTTTGACTTACATTTCCCTAATTGCCTCTTTTTTGTGCAGTCAGTCATATTTTTTTTCCATTTTATTGTATGCATTTCTTCTCTGATTCCTGGTATCTTTTGTGGAACCTTTTGAAATGGGAGAGTATGTGTTTCAGGGACAGATAGTCCTGGGTTTTAATCCTCCTGCTGTTTCTATTAGCTGTGTGACCTTGAGCAAGTTATTTAACATTCTGAGCTTCAGTTTCCCCACTTACTAAATGTGAGCTACAGAATTAACTTAGACAAATCTATAAAAAAGCCTTGAGAGGGCCAGGGATGTAGCTCAGTGATGCTCCACCTGCCTCGCAAGTGCAAGGTCCTGAGTCCAAACCCTGGTAATGGAAAGAAAAAAAAAAAGATTCAACCCATACCAAAAGCCCTGAGATGGACCTTGGACAAAGCAGGTCTTCAATAAATTTTACCAGTGAATCCAGGGATCAGAAGGGGAAATTTCCAGCTTGGTCAGGAAACCTGGGCTGGGGGCTGCTTCATTTTTCATCTATTATTTACCTTACTTGTAACTTTTTTTACAACAGAGGTATTTCACTTCTAAATGTTAGCCTCTCTGTGCCTCATCTCTCCCTAGGTATGGAGGTGTGGCCACCTGAGAAGTGTGATGAGGACCAAGGGGAGGGCATGGGACCTGAGTCTGTGTACCACAATGTCAAAGACTGGCGAATCTGCAGAGCAGGTTCCAACACCTTACTGGTCTTGCCTCAATCATCAGATTAGCTGCCGCCTAAGGGAATTTCTCTTGCCTCAGACGAAAGGCTCTGTATGGTGCAGAGGGAAGTGAATTAAGACTTCCTAAGAATTTACAAGTAATGTTATATGCATGATCTTATTTTATCCACTCCATGAGCTGGCCAGGTAGGTTCTATTTTTCCATTTATAGATGGGAAAACTGAGATTCCAAGAGGTTCAATAACCTGTCTGAGTTCACACAACCAGCAAATGCTGGTGCCTGGATTCACACCCAGCTCTGATTTGAAAGCCTGATTTCCTTGCAAGCCACACTACCCTAGAAAGCACAAGGCACTCCAGAACTGTGGGCTGATCTGACTGATGGCTTCCCATTCCTCTGTCATGACAGAGATGATGTCTTCCCTCAGTCTGAACTGAGATGTGCCTCTGGTGCCACAGAACAGCCTCATGCTGTCCCAGGCATGAAAACAGGTGCTTCTCCTGGAGTCCAGATACCAGGCTCTGTCTCAGCTACTGTGGATTTCTTGCTTCTAGACCTCAGTCTCCAGCCCATGTGTTCCTGAGGGGACCTGGCTTTCAGCTCCTGGGCTCTTGGAGTCTAGAACAAGGCCAGCCACCCACCCTGGGTTCTCCACAGACCAACAATGCATCTTGCACAGGCCTTGCCCTCCCATAGAGCTGGTAAGTACAGGTTATCCTGGGCAGGGGGAGTAGGGGACCTCTCCATGCGAGTGGGCCAGGGCATTGACCCTAACTAGACAGTCCAAACACCAGGGCGGAAGAGCCAGAGCCTGAGCCACCAGATCCCTACCAAGACTGAAATAGAAACCCACTTGGAGGCAAATAGGGAAATGACCCCAGGGCAGGAGAGATGGGTGGTGTGCTCTCTTGACTGGCCCCAGGCCCTCAGCTGGAGTAGGCACTTGTCACCAGGCTCTAGTGACTCAACTCACCCCTCCTGGGGGGAACCAGGAAACCCCAGCTCAGAGTTTGGGGTCTGGAGTCTGACAAATGTAATCCAAGCTCCCACTTAGACAGATTAATGCTTTATCTTCTCTGAGCCTGACCTTCCTCTACTGTGGAATGGGGATAACAATCATCATGCCTGCATTTACCCTTATGTAAAACAGTTGGTATATCATAGGTGCTCAATAAATAATAAATACAGCCATTGCTAACCTTCTCTTTCAACTGAACATTGAATGAAGGATTTATTTATCTACTCTTTCAGTTATTTTTCCATTTAGTCAACCAGGCAGCACATGCCCACTGGGTAGGCCACAACAGTGAAGAATATTGTTTCTGAAGTGAATTAGGAGTTGAAACCCTAGCATTGCTGCTAGTTGGCTGAGTACTCTATGTTCCCAGAAAGCCATTTACCCTCACTGAGCCTTCATTTCCTTGTCTGTAAAATGGGAACAATAATAGCATCTCTAGAGAACACTGGCATGTTAAGAAGAGTCAGTGGGACAAAGATGTGACAGCAGCCAGCACAAATCCTCTGAGGGAAAAGCGATGGCAGGTGAGCTGCACAGAAGAGCCAGGAGGGGGCGTCTCCAGGCACAGCCACAGGATAAGGCAAGGGTGCAGGCTCAAAGACAGTTGGTAGGTTTCTGGACCAGGTCCCCCTCCCTTTCTGGTAAGCAAATAGTGAATGGTGAGAAAATGCAAAAAAAAAAAAAAAAAAGGTTAGAATTTTAGAGGAGAATCACCCCCAACCAAGAAAGCGTTGCACACATGCTCACAAGCTGCACTGGAAGGTCTTGCACACACATGTAGATGCATCTCAAAGGCACAGCACTTTGTGCAAAGAGCCTTCTCATTCTTCATCTCACTTGCTATGAAGGAGAGAAGAGACTGGCCCTGGTTGGCTTAGGAGCTATTTGAAGCTGCTAAGACATGTGAATCCCACATCTGTTCAAGAGGCCAGGTGAATGCACACTGTGTGGCCTACTTGTCCTATGCTGGGGTCAGCAGAATTGAATGGGCACAGAAACTCCAGATAAAGGTTTTTGAGTTTGATTTTTTTGTACTGCGGTATTGAACGCAGGCCCTTTGCACTGAGCTACATCCCCAGCCCTTTTTGAAAATATTTTATTTTGAAACAGGGTTTTACTGAAGTTTGAGCCCAAGTTGGGCTCAAACTTGCAATCTTCCTGTCTCAGCCTCCCAGAGTGCTGGGAATTACAGGCATGTGCCACCATGCCAGGCTACTCCAGAAAAGGTATAACTCCACTCCCCAGAATATACTCATTCCCCCTGCTTCTCTCCCCTTTAACAAGTCATACCTGGACTCAGGGCAGAAGGAAGAGGCTTCCCAGGGGCCTCCTATGCAGACTTCCTTTTAGTCAAATCATCTTTCCTACAAATCATCAAGCCTCCCCCTCACCAGCACACTACACTTAACAGTTTCCAAAATACTTAGCAGAGGACAATTGCTACTCCCCACTTCTCACAGTAAGAAATTGAGACCCACAGAGGAAGGGTCCTGTGTCATTCAGGACTCAAATCTAGACCTATGTGGCTCCAAATCTCGTCCCCCTATTCCATTCCTTACTGAGGCACAGCCTAGTCCCCATGTCACCCCCCTCCCCTGTCCTATCTGCCTTACTCTTCCATGATGTGCAGCCTGCAGGCTCTAGGTGCAAGCAGGTGGAGGAAGGGAGAAAGCCCCCACACCTGCCAGGAGCCCTGTGGCTGCAGGTGGACATGTGACATACACTAGGAAGCTCCCAGAGGAGGGTGCATGTCCAGGGACTGGCCTGGAAAACTTACCCTGGGGTCAGTGAGTGCTCCATTTTTGGTCCATGACTACTGCAGAGAATCTCAACTCCTAGAGTAGCCCCCGCTGCTAGTCTGTCCTGTGCCACAGGCTGCCTTGTGAGTACTGAAATCTGGGGAAGCAGCAGATGAGGAAACTGAGAATCCGAGGAGGGGAAGTAACTTGGTGCAGCACAGAGCTGGCAAGCAGCAGGGCCAAGATGTGACTCTGAGGACCCTGTTGCTCAAGTGCTTAACACTAGGGCTGACTCAGCCACTGCCCAGCTGGAAGCAAGTCACCTCAGCCTTGAGCATGCTCACCCAAAGCAGGATACCATTAGTTTGGCCCCACAGGCTTCTGCGAGGAGGGAGGGAGAGAATTTTAGGGACCAGGGCCTGGCACAGAGTAGACATGCATTTGATGCCCGTTTTTCTCCCCCTTCCCACCCCAGCCTTCTCCTGGCCTCTTTGAAGTCTGGAAAGAGTCCTGTTCCTGCTCATCCCTGCCAGAGAGAACAATTACCCTGGCCTTCTTAGCAGTGCCAGGAAGTTCCATCAACAGGGGTGGGGACCTTGAGATTAAGGGCCTGTTATCTGTGGCTCCAACACCATAGGTCCAGATACACACACACACACACACACACACACACACACACACACACGCAGGGGCAGAGGATAAATCTTCAGGATGAGAATAATTTTGGGCAAAGACTGAGCCCAGGTGACCATTCCCTTCCCCAGATCCAGTCCACCTTTGAGCCAGATGAAGAGAGGCAGCCAGGGTGGCTCGGCCTCTGGTCCATGATGGGCCTGGGCCAGCCCTTCCTATCTTTAAGATTATTCTCTCTCTCTCTCTTTCTCCTCACTGGCACCTGTTCTCTTCAGGAAGTGTTCAGGGTACATGAGGGCATTAAACAAAGTCCCTACCCTTGAGCCACCTGCATTTGAGCAGGGGAGATGAATTTATCTTAGTTCACAAGTTAATAGCAGATTGGGTAGCAATAAGAGCTATATAGAAGCACAATGGAAGATAAGGGACGGAGGGCTGAACCTCAGACCATGGGACAGGCCCCACCTGGACTTGCTGGGTCCCCTCTCCCATATCTCTTCAGAGAAGGCCACCCATCCTGAAGGAGACCCTGCCCCAGGCCTTGAGTTCCTATTCTATGCCAGGCCCTGCTTTGGTGGAGAGCATCCTGAGCGTTACTTCCATTCTGTGCCCTGGGGAAGCCCTCTACAGGCTCAGAGAGGAGCCTAACTAACATCCCCTAACTCAGCCCAATATCTCATTGAAGAGAAAAGTGTGCTAGGGCCAGAGAGGGGCTGGGGCTTGCCTGGGTCACATAGCAAAGCAGAGGTGTCCTTTCCCCTGCCACGTGCATAAAGGTTGATTAAAGGTTGAGCCTCAAAGCAGAGTGCTGGGCAGTGAGGTAGGAGTGTGAAATGTCCCCACATAAAACCCACTTGGTAGTCCCAGCCTACCCATCCTCTGGGGGTCTGAACCCAGAATTCTTGTACTCTAGAGCCTAGGAGGCTGAAAGTGCTTTTCCTCAGCCCAAGCTTGGGAGGGTTCTGGTCAACTGCACCTCAACTTGCTATGTGACCTCACATCTCTCTCTCTCTGGCCCTCAATTCCCTCATCTGTTAAATGGAAGAAATGAAGACACCTGCCTCTCAGGGCTATCATGAAGAATAAATAAGACACGACATGGCAAAAGGCAGTGTGCAAACTATAAACCGTATCCACAAGACAGGATTTGTTATACATTTGCATTTGGGGCCCTGTGGTGGGGAGGGGGTTCCCTAGAGCAGACCCTGACCCTTGCTGGGAACTAAGTGGAAAGTCTTCAGAAAGGTCAAAGCCATCCTGTGTCCAACCTGACAGAAGGGCCCTACTCTGCCCTTGTGGTGAGAAGATGAGGAGGGAAGATGGAAAGAGACAAAGTGGGAACCCTGGAAGGGGCTGGCGTGGGCCTGAGGTAACTGAGGTCACCCAGCCACCCCCTCAGGAGTGAGTGTGGGGGTTCACATCTCTGTATGGGGCTTGTCAGCCACACACGGGCCTGTCCTGGAGGATGCCTATGTCACATGTTTGGGTGTACAGATGTGTCAGGTATGTTCCCTTGCATATTTGCATGCGCGGGCATCTGTGCACATGCTGCACACACGTGCCCTCTCCTGCGAACCCTGCAAACCCCTGTCCACAGCCTATGTTTTCCCAGGCGGGTGATCCTTACCACAATCCTACTTTGGCCCAGAAGCTAGGAGGGGGTTGCGGGGTTTGTGGGCACCACGGACTCTCGACTTCCACAGAACAAAAGTGATTACATAAGAAGAAAAGGAAGGCTTAGAGGATTAAGTAGGCACTCCCCGCTTGGCCCTGGGTGTGGGCTCCTCTTGGCAAAGGGTGGTCACAGGTGCCCAAAGTCAAAGTTCCGCTGGCCTCAGCCTCTTAATTCCCTGTGGGCAGTGACCCCTGCAAGCCACTCTCTTGCCCTCAGCCAGCAGGAGCCCCACAGCCTCTGTGACAGTAAGTAAGTGCTTTATAGGTTACACCCATGTCCTGTGGGATGATGATCATGACAAAACAGCCAGGTGGACTGTAGAGCCTCACCTCCCGAGACCCTGGGCAACCACTGCTGGCTCAGCCTCAGTTCCCCTCCTGGCCCTGGCTGAGTTTTCCATTCTGCACTGGCCCCTCCCTGGATGAGTCTCACCCTTCCTGAACCATGGTTTCCCTAGCTATAGGTGGAGCTATTCCTGCCCACACTGGGCAAGAGGTGTGAAGGGTCTCTGTGACCTGTGACAAACCCTACAGGAATCTTCCTGTGTGCATCCCAGGTACCCATGGGACTGCCCACTGGCCCTTTGTTGCTCCCTGGAGCCAAATGTGTGAAAGAAGATGCCTGACTCTCAATGCCTGGGATTTAGATCAGACTCCACAGGGAGTTGACACTGATTCGGGCTTGCTGGCAGCAGGTTTGACAGTCCTCAGATAGGGGAGGCTGGGGCCTCTCTCTGAGCCTTAGCTCTCCTTCTTTGCACCCTGAGCATCTCATCCTGCCAGTGCCTGGGTCCTGCTGTTTGCTGTCATAGGGACATAAGCACAGAGTGGCCACAGAGACCTGTCAGGGCCCACAGGTGTAATCCCACACTGAAGCACCGCAGCACACCAAGACCCTAACACTGGTCCATACACGTGCATGGGCCACACTCAGAGGCACACCACCACAGCATGCACACACGTACCCACATATGTATGCACCCATGTCCAGCCTGGCACACATAGGGCTGTAACTTAGCTCAGCCACAAGCTGCACACAAGGAACTTTCAGAAGCAGGAAAGAGCTGGAAAGGGAAGGAGACAAATCTTCGGAAGCCTATCCTTCGGCTCCACACAGAGAGACTACAGAGTTTTCCCAAGGACCCAGGTGGTTTGGTAGTTTGGGGGTTTGGGGGTTCAGCGAGCTCATTCTCTCCAGCCATCCCACACAGGCCCTGACCAGAACACTCAGAGAAAGCAGACAAGATCCCTAAGGGAATATGGCCCCGATATACCCAATCTACCACCCGGCCCAATTGTCATCAGCTCAAAGTGAGGCTTTGGGCTAACAGGGCAGCAGAATATAGGATCCTGGGAATCCTAGAGGGTACAGGGCTATTCCCAGGCAGAGGATGCCCTGCCCACCATCTTCAAGCCTCAATCCTTCCTTTAGTGGGTTTCTGGTCCCTTTCTTCACTCTATACTTATTGGACTCTTCTGAAAGGTGGTGGCCTAATGGTGAGCAAGAGAATCACAGTGCTTTTTCTCTGCTCAGCTGAGTCCAGCCTCCCTAGAGCTACTAGATGGAGCTAGGGTGGAGGGAGGGGTCACCAGTTTCACCCCCTCCATTCCCCTCTGAATCACCTCAATGTATCCCAGCCACTGCCCAACCTAACTGCAGACTCAGTGTTGACTGAAGTGTGAACTTTGAACCTGGGGAGCTGGCATCATGTGGAAGTCTATCAGAGCTGCGGGCCCCACCTTGATCAATTGATCAGCTCTCCAAGTGATTCATGAGCACACTGACATTTGAGAAGCATTGACCCAGAGCACTCCCCACACAGCCAACCCCTCCCCAGCTGCCCAGCTGCCCACCTGGAATAGGACAGTGCAGGCCTGTTCAGGTAATAACTACCCTAGCAAACACAGTGCTCCCCTAAGCCTCATCCACCACCCAAGGTAGATACCTTTTTTTTTTGAGACAGTCTTGCTATGTAGTTCAGGCTGGCCTTGAACTCATTATGTACCCCGGGCTGGCCTCAAACTCATGGCCTCAGCCGTGATAGATGGATAGATGGATAGACAGATAGATAGATATCAGTGCAAAGGGAGCCTCAGCCTCCCAAGTGCTAGGATTACAGGCGTGTGCCATCTCGCCTGGCCTAGATAGATTACTATCCCATATTACAGAAGGGGAACGAGGCTCTGAGCTGTTATGTAACTTGTCTGCTAGTAGCAGAGCCAACATTTGAACACAGTGCCTTGAAGCAATGTGCTGCCCTGTCTACCTGCAGTGTCTCCAAGCCTGGGCAAAAGTCTGTGCGGCAGAAGAGAAAATAGAGAAAGTGAAAAATCAAAGAAGCCAGTGGACTTCCTTAGAAGAATCTCAGAAATACCAGCTTATCCTAGGCAGAGAGGAAAAAAAAAACAGTATCAGAAACCTAGGTTAAGATGGTGACTTGAGCTTCTAGAGACCAAAGTGAAAAAGAAAAATAGAGCAAGGATTTATGGGTCTGTCTCATTCTGTATGATAAAAGGAAGTTAAATATTTGCCTGGGGAAATGAATTTGATCACTGGGATAATCCTGCTTGGGGTTCTGTGAGAAATGCAAAGGAGAGGGCAAGCCAAATCAGTAAGTGTTACTGAGCACCAGTTGTGTCAGCCTTTAGGGCACATGGAGGAGATATAAATGGAAACATATACAACAGGCAAAATGTTGTGGCTTTGACACTCCAGGGGCTACCTGGAGAGGGAGAAAGACACCAGGAAAGAGACCATCACAGGGCACTGGAAAAGGCAAAGACTATGACCTTTCAGAGCTGCTTGTATTAACCCCACACAAAAAATGATCAGGGATGTGTGTTGGGTGAAATGGCTGTATGCAAGCACTGTTGGAATGGTAGGGAGTCAACAGTCCTTGATTTTGAGCCTAAGAATTCTCTGAAGAGCATTAAGGAAATGCTGCCCTGCAAAGCTCCACAGGTCTTTATGCTGTGAGAGGAGGAAGCCTGAATGCATCTTGGGACCAGAGCACTGTGTTTG